AGAGCACTGTCCCACCTGCAGTCCTACGGCGGGAAGAGCTGTGGTTAATAAGTTAGAAAGCTGGGGCTTCTACCGAGCCACAAAAGAAGCTGGAGACAGTGTGTGCAGATCTGCAAGCAAACAGACTCGTGTCTAACCCGGGGCTGCCGCGCTTCCCCTGCTTAGAAATCAATCATGCACAAGGGGTGGGGCCTGAGGAGCGCGGCTCTCACTTGTTACTGGTTTTTCACCCAGCAAGTGGGAAGTCCAGAAGGCTGACTCGGTCTCTAAAACGAAGCAAACCTGTGACGACCACAGCCACCCAACAGCAAAAGAGGTGGCAGAGGCTGGGTGAGCGCAGGACTGAGAATTCATGGAGAAAGTTCTTTTTAAGGACTTTTTAAGGGAGAGGTTAGACCCTTTAATTGGCCAAAAAGGCCCGACTCTAAGAGCCGACCTGCAGGAAGCCAGCCCGGCAGCTTCTCACATCGCCACTCCCAGCTACTGGTGGGCTGCCTGCTGTCCTTACCTCCCAGACAAGGGGGATCATGTCCTCCTTGGAGTCACCGCAGACCAGTGCACACTTCTGTGGCCTGTTTTGCTGTCTGCACTAACCTGCTGTGACACCACTATTGCCAACACAGCCACCTCCGTGTGGGGGGTCCCTGGACCAGACGCCCTGCTGTCTTCATCTTAGGCTACCCAGTTCCCAACAGTGCCTGCTGCACATTATCAGTAATCACAGTAAGTCTTTGTCCCGTGATGAGTCGCCTTTCAGTCTCTCTGCAGTCTCTTTCCTGCCAGTGCCCCTTGGCTGCTCCCGAAGCCCTGACCCCTGACCTCCTGCCCTTTCTGTCTCCAGGGCCATTAAGTCCCCTGCTGGTCCCTATCCTTGGAGCCCATTGACAGATGAGTTTGGTTCTGTCACCCCTACCTGCAGTACAGTGGCTCAATCTAGGCTCCCTGCAACCTCCACCTTCCGGGTTCAAGTGATTCTCGTGGCTCAGCCTCCCGAGTACTTGGGATTACAGGTGCACACCACCACTCCAGGCTAATTTCTGTATTTTTAATAGAGACAGGTTTTCACTACGTTGGCCCGGCTGGTCTCAGACTCCTGACCTCGGGTGATCCACCTGCCTTGGCCTCCCAAAGTGCTGGGATTACAGGCGTGAGCCACCGCACCCAGCCGGTCCTGTTTTCATATACATTCAAATTCACTGATTTGCCACAAGAATGCTATCAGGTAGGTGCTGTGATCAACCCCACTTTAAGGGTAAGAAATAGGGGGCACAGAGAGAAGTAGAAAGAATGATTCCAGCTCAAGCCATCTGGCTTCAGAGCTCAGGCTCCTAACTGCTAATCCTAGATGGCCTCTCCCTAAGACACGGCGCTGCCTTGGTGAAAGCAGAGTGAAGCAGCCATTAGAATGCTCTTTGAAAGTATCTGAAAACCACATTCAAATACCAGCACCTCAGTTTCCTTCCTTAGAGGGTCCTTGAAAACATGTGTCTGACCACTTTGCGAGGCAGGATAGTGCACAATGGTGCTGCTTGAATGGCAGTCAGAGTGTCACAGCTTGGAGTGGTGCAAAAGCCGGGGGACAAAGAATTGTGGAGTCTTGCACCAAAGCCACACTGGGAACATCACACCCAGAGCCGTCCTTATCACCCCAGATCTCCTGAAAAGTGAAGGGAGCTGGTATAAATAACAGTTTCCATTCCCATCCATTACCACGCCCTGCTTGCAGCCTCTGGGATCTCTTGATTCACATTTTCCAAATGCTGGGATTCTTAGGGCCTTAGTTAAGGAAGGCAGTGTCAGTCCAAGGGTCTAGATCATCCTTGCGGGCAAAAGAATGGTCCATTAAGTGGGCGTGTGAGCCCCCTCAAACTTATTAAAGAGATTCACAGTATATAAGGCATATTTATAAAAACCACATAATTTGATGCTCTAAAACAACCCTGTGAACGAGCTTAGGATAGATGATGTATATTATGTCATTTTGTAAATGAGGAAACCGAGATTCAGAGAAATAAAATGGCTCAACCAAAAGTTACCCAACTGTTAAATATCAAAGGAACTAAAAATCCCGCTTTTCTGTCTTCAGATCCTGTACTCTCCTCTCTACACCACAGCATCTCAATGGAACCATAAGCCTCAAGACGTGAGTTCAAGTTCCTCCTCTGCCACTTACCAATGTGATCTTGGCAAGTCATGTATTCTCTCTGGGGCTCACTTTCCACGTCTGTAAAATGGGGATTAAAAACTCTGTGTCCCGCCTGATTAATTCTCTATGACTTGGGAGTCTTCTGGCCAACCTCACTCTGAAAGTGTCACCAGACCAAAGATATATGGAGTAGTTGGCCTCCTTTATAGGAGGCTGCCCCGCTGGGAGATGGGAGAAAGAGGGGTACAATGCCAACTTGCTGAGGTGGGACTGGAACCGGCTGGGCTGTCTGGCTGACTTATGTGCCAAAGCAGCTCTGCTGGAGTCCTGAGCAATCTTCCCACTCCTTCCAACTCAGTTTGTCTGGTTGACATCTAAGTTCTCTTGTAGCCCTAAAAGTCTCTGAATCTATAGATCTGAGAAGCCAGTTCCCTCCACGACTGTCGCCAATTCACGTTTCCTCTGTAAATGTCATTTCCCCTTCTGCAGAAGCCAAATCACACTCCCTTCCCACCTGCTACAGAGTGCTGCTGTGCACCTTGACTGACAGTCATGCGAACCTGATGATTTCCTTGAAAGGTGCCTGCCTTGTTCAATCACTCAATTGTAATGAGGTCATTGCTGGAACTGGCGCCTCCCACAGCCTCTGGATTCCAGCAAAGCACACACCAGACTTTCCAAAAAACTGCTGAAGTCTTGGGTGCCCCGGGGCTGAGTGCCGCCTGACTGATGTCAACCCCCGTCCCCCAGCAGCCTCCCTGAGATGTTTCAATTACAGCTGGGCTTGCTGGCAGCTCTTGAAGTTCTCCCCCACAGACAGGACTCAGGCTCCCAGCTACTCTTCCTTACAAGTCACATTTTTATGGACAGCGCTGGCAGAAGAATAGGAAGAAGATTGGGGTTCATGAAATGCCACCACTGGTCCAGCCTTTTTTAGCCTATTGGAAGTGGGGAAACATAGAAAACTCTCAAAATGTGCGCTCTGGATCCCTGGGATTCCCAAGAGGACCCTGTGGTGGGGGTTCCATGAAGCCAAGCTTTTCGTAATGATATGAAGGTGTTATTTGCCTTTTCTCCCTGTGCTGCCGCTTGTAATAATGGTGCATAAGCAACAGGGAGTAAAACGACTGCCCCCTCAGCACAGATCAAGATAGTGACACTACACTGTACTGACAGCCGTCATATTCTCCACTACCACACACTCACAGCAAAAGATAAATTTTTTTAAAAGCCACACGTAAGCTTGTCTATGATGAAAGAGTAGAAGTTATTGACGTTATGAAATCTCAACCCTTGCGTAACACCTTGTTTCAACATTCTGTGTGGACTGGTAAGTACCACTAGAAGTACCACTTCCGCCACACATCGATGTACAATGATTGTCTCCAGGAAAAATGACTTGTGTGACTGCTTTGGTTAAGTGAACTAATCACTTTTTTCAGAAGATACATTTTTACTTAAGAAAAAACGACTGCCAGACAAACTAAGGATATTCAGACTGGGGTTTTGGCAGATGTTTTCTCAAAAATGGATCTCCTGAGACTGTTTCTTCAAGGAAAACAACTGATGGTATTTGTTGCCAATAATAAAATCTGAGCTTTCCAGTGAGAATCAGAATTTTGGAAAACTTGTGTTTACCACTGTGAGCTTGACAGCTTCCTAATAATACTTAAGGAGTTTTCCAATGATATTCCAATGGTAATACTAATGAATTGTGCTATCTAAATATTGGAGAGTAAAAATATCAACATTTGGAAAATGTATACAACACAGTGAACCAATATTTTTCAAATGATCAATGTCTGACGTTAGGCAACTACACGCAAGTAAAAGACACGTTCAAAGTACAAGAGAAATGTTTGGATTTTAATGTGGGACAGTACAAGAAGTTTATTGATATAGTTTCAGATTCCATATTGTAACAAACCTTTAAGAAACTATCACTTCTTGAGTTTGGGTATAGTATTAAAAAAAAACAACAAAAAAACACCCAGCCCGGCGAGGTGGCTCACGCCTGTAATCCCAGCACTTTTGGGAGACTGAGGCAAGCGGATCACTTGAGGTCAGGAGTTTGAGACCAGCCTGGTCAACAGGGTGAAACCCCATCTCTATTAAAAATACAAAAATTAGTTGAAATAGCTTGACCGAGAGGCAGAGGTTGTTGCAGTGAGCCAAGATCGTGCCACTGCACTCCAGCCTGGGCAACACAGCGAGACTCCATCTCAAAACAACAACACACAAAACCCATAATTGTCAAGAAGAATATTAAAATACTCCTCTCCTTTTCAACTACATGTCTGTGTAATGCCAGATTTTTCTCACACACTTTGGCCAAAACAACATGGCACAACCGATTGGATGCAGGAACAGCGATAAGTCACTGGCTTAATCTATTGATTCAAGCATTAAAGAGATTTGCAAAGATATAAAACGATGCCACTCTTGTAAGCAATTGTTTCTTGTTTTAGGAAATATGATGACTTTTTAGTTAAAACATGTTATTTCTGTTGACATGTAATGAGTTTATTGCTATTTTTAAGTGAATTAGTAAGTTAACATTTGTTAAATTTCTGTTTTAATTTATATAGTAAATAAGGACAGATATAAGTCACATAAACAAAATACTCTTGGAGTTTTCTGTAATTTTTTCTTTTTTGACAGAGTGTTGCTCTGTCGCCCAGGCTGGAATGCAGTGGCGTGATCTCGGCTCACTGCAACCTCCGCCTTCCAGGTTCAAGCGATTCTCCTGCCTCAGTCTCCTGAGCACCTGGGACTACAGGCACGCGCCACCAATTAGTTCCCAGCTAATTTTTTGTATTTTTAGTAGAGACGGGGTTTCACTGTGTTCGCCAGGATGGTCTCGATTTCCTGACCTCGTGATCCGCCCACCTCGTCAGTAATTTTTTATAGCGTGAAAGAATCCTAAGACCAAATAGTTTGAGAACTGCTAACCGGTGATATTCTGTAGTTTTAGGATTGTGGGTCCAGCTACTGTGGGAAGACTGGCTGTGGTCAACAACGGGAGGGGAGCCTTCTGCTACCGGTTGGCAAGAGCTACTGAAGCCTGGAACTAAGGCAGCGGCAATGGCATGGCCAGGGGCTGTAATGTGAGTTCATCATTACAATTGGGGTCACTACGTCATATTTTGGTTTGGTTGCAATGCTGAACCTTATGCAGCCCTGGCCCTGGAATAGGCATGGTCTCCTCTGAAGGGAGTGGTTATATCCAACACCAGCCGTTTGAGAACCAGATGGATGCTCTGACGAGAAGCAGAAATGAAGCAGGGAAGCAGGGAGAGGACCTTGCTCCAGCTGTTCTGGGTGAAGACCTGTTCTGGGCACACACTCAACTTGGCAAGTGCCAAGACAGTACCCACCATAGGGATGCCAGGGGGAGCTCCGGTGAGGCAGGCCCTTCAGGCTTCGAAGGGAAAGCAGGGGAATGCCAGGTATCCTGTGTCACAGTACGCCCTGTGCTGATCTCCCTTCTCTTATCACTGAGTCTCCAGTGGGACAAATCCAGTCAGGTTTTCCAGCCTCATCTCAGCTGTGCTAGAGGAAACTAAAGGAAGAAGCATGCATGTGTGCAGGGGAAGTCACAGGCCCCTACCCAAGTTATTATAAGTTATTTATGAGATGGGAGCAATGGTTAGGGAGAAATTCTCAAGAGAAAGGGAAATCGGGTGAATCAGAGAAACAGCTCCTCCATCCAGTGACTAGACCTTGTTTACGAAAGGCAGAATTTTCCTTAGGAGGTGAGAGAATTGAGAGACATTTTGGAAGAAGGAATAAATAGAATGAATTGAATACAGCAGGTGAGGACTCCAAAACTTATAGGACATCTACTTGGAGCTTGAGGTGCCTCTTAGACATTCCAGGTGGAGCTGCCCGAAAGACAGAAAGGTGCAAATGTCTGAAGCTCGGGAGGTCCAGAGTGGAGGCATTGGCTTGAGGTTCATTAACCTACAGAGGTCAGCAGTTCTTAGGCCTCAGAGCAATTCAGAGTCACCTATGGAGGACGACTGAGAGGAAGACGGCTGTCTCAGAATCTCCAGGAGTGACCCTGATGCACACCACCACGAGTTCTCTGAAGGCAGAGGAGACGCTGAGAGCTTCCGGAAAAAAGGGAGAAAGAATGAGTTCCAATTGCAGCCAAAAGCCAAAAGCATCTTGCTCCTGAGCACCAGAAGGCTGTCAGGAAAGAATGTGCTTAATTAAATTCTAATGGGCTGGCAGACTCCAGCACATGGAATACATCAACTGCTCGTCTTCAGACAGCGCAAGAGTCCTCTGCTAATATCTGAAGCCTGAAATGTAGCCACTTAAGCTCCCCATATATCAGGCATCGTTAGGGATCCCAGAAGCTGCACATGGGCCTGATCATAAACAGTCAGGGGGAGAACCAGAGGGCCATGGGGAGCAACCCTCAGCCTTCCCTGGATACAGCTGTGTAAAGTAGGCTCTTTCTTCTAGAAACAATCCTTTTCCCTGCAGCTGGACTGAGCAGAATGAGCGTTTCTGAAACATAGCCAGGGGACAGACTGTTCTCTTGGAAGCTCCAAGTTGTCTTTTCTAGCAAAGGAGTGACAGGGGTGAGTAAAACATTTTTCATTTATTAAAAAGCTTCTATTGACCACACACAATAAGCTAGATATCCAGACCACGGTTTCTAACCTTTCCTTTTCTGTTTGTTTTGTTTTGTTTTGTTTTGCCTGGAGAAAGGCAAAGGCCTTTATTTCTTCTTGCCTCCCCGCGGGCAGCCTCCACCCTGGGTCCACTGGCCACCACCCCTCGGTGCTCCGTTTTTGCCAACATCTGCCAGCAAGTCCTTGTGGTACCGCTGGGGCAACCTGTAGTAGATTCGGGTCCTGTCCACAGCCCTGGCTCCCAGCAGCACTGTCCTCTCAGAGGCATAGTCGCCCCTAGCTGGGCTGCGCTCCACTGTGACAGTGGCCCAGGGGGAGGATGCCAGCAGCCTGGCTACAGCTCCAGCCGTGCTGTGGCCCGGTGGCCTGGCCTGCATCTGGAAGGGCACAGGTTGCCAGAGCCCCTGGCACAGCTCTAGCATATCTGTGAACAGCTGTTCCTTGTAGCCACTGCCCAGCGCCTCCTCAGGCCAGCCTGGTGCCACAGTCTCACAGGGGAAGACCTCAGCCACAGCTCTAAGCAGTTCTCTGCCAGCCATGTGACCAGGGACTGAAAAACTCCTGTGGGAGATTTTGGCCCCCATCCACGCAGGCTGATGCAAGAGGCCAAAGCTGAAGAGGCATGCCAGCAAGGCCAGGGACGGCCGCAGGGCTGCAGGCTCCACTATTTGCAAATGGACGCCCCAGTGTCCGGGATGTGTGGCCAGCTGCTGCAGGCAGGACTCCAACCTCAGGATGCTGCCACTTGGAGCACAAACAGTGGCCACGGGGTTCTCAGCCACAGTTCCCTCGAGCCAGTGTTCCGCAGGATCGTGCCTTCTGTGTCTGGGAGGGTGACTGTTGCTGTACCCCTGGGGCAGCATCAAGACCATCACCCCCGAACCACTGGAGAAGAGGGATCAGACTGCCTCCCGTGTTACGTTTGCTTCCGTGTGGCATTCACTGTGGGGCCCCAAATCGCCCAGGTGAGGGGGCTGCCATTCAGGAATACCTTCTGTAGGTCACAGCTGTACAGCCATCCTCTCTAAGCTTGCCAAGTAGAGGCCAGCTGCTTGAACTGCAACAGGAAAGGCTCAAAGATGTCATAGTAGACTTGATGGATGGCAGTGTTGTTCTAGAGGTAGAGCAGATCCTCTGCCGACATGGGGTCCGAGGCGACCTGCCACAGCATCAGGCTGTACCTCTCAGACTGGCTCAGCAGCCAGCTGGAGTGGGGCCAGGTGGCTCGCACCGTGGAAGACAGCACAGGGAAGGTGACTCTCTGGGGCACCACTCCTACCAGCTCGTGCATCTTCTCCACCATCGCTCGGGTGTACATCCTGTTTGGGAACATGGGCACGTAGATGGTGGTCCAGCCTGGAGACAGGGTGGCCTGGGGATACTTCTCCTGGATGAGGGCTAGGAACGCTGTGGCACTGACCTCAGTTGAGATGGGCATGTCAGAGCCCTTTAAGATGTCAGTGTTGATCCGCGTGGGCCGCCAGACTTTGCCCCCTTCTGTCAGCTGCCACAGGCGGTCCAGGGAGGGGCCCACCGCCTTGATGTTCTTGAAGTCCAGTTTGATGCCCTTCTGGGAAGAGCCTGGCATACCGTCCAGCCACTGCTCCAGTGTGTTGAAGCTACGGATAGCCAGGGGGTGTGCCATGATGGGAACTCCTGTCTCATCGGCTGTGCCGAGCCCTTCGACATTGACGTCAGCCTCCAGGACGGTGATGTTGCCGTTTGGGGCAGCTGTCGTGGCTTCCTTGCTGTTGGCTGCGTGGTACCAGGTGACCTCCAGGGCACCTCGGCGGCTGGTCTGACCCAGGCCCAGCAGGTAATCCAGCATGTCGGCCTCGGGGCTGCAGGCCTCCAGCTCACAGCCTGGCCGCCGCAGGGTGATGGCAAGGACTACCGCAGCCATGACCACCACAGAAACACAGGTAATGCCAGCCAACCCCCACCTGACCCGATTCTTCGACAACTGCTCCCTGCAGGCCATGACGACGCCTGGCCATGTCTCCCAGGGAGACATCTCAGTAGCATCTGGGAGAATGAGGAGATGCCTGTTTGCTGTGGATTATATGGGCGCCTCAACTGGGCTTCTAGACCAGAGATGAGACGGTGTCGGTACGAGGACATATTCTGGAGCCTGTGTAGTTCTATCTGGCTGTGGGCAAGTCAGGCTAACCTTTTAGTCAAGGGATCCGCAAGAGTGGTCCAGAGACCACGTGCATCAGCATCATCCGGAGAACATGTTTAAACACTGATGCTTAGGCCCCGTCCCAGACGACTGAACCAGAATCTCAGAGGACAGCCCATAATCTGCATTTTTAAATAAGTTCCCCATGATGCAAGGGATCCTGGTGCATCTCACCCTCAAGAGCTCTGTCCGTTACCCTGCACTGCCAGGCATCCAGGGGAGGTTTCTTCCCTGCAACACTCACTCCTCCTTCACACTTCAGCCAAACGGACCCTGTGAGACACCCAAGTGTAGGGAAGGCCTGTGCCTTCTTCGCTTCTTGCTAGGGCTGTCTTCCCACACTCACCACAGGGCCACATCTTATCCTTCAGGGCACTGATGACATAGCCACTGCCCATACATTGGAGGTGCTCTGACAAGGGGCTCAGGCAATGCAGACCTTATCCAGAGAGACTGGAGGCGATACTGCAAAACGGTGCTACCTGGGCAGGGTGAGATGCTGAGGTACCACTCAAGCGTGTGTTCAAAGCCGCATGCTCCCTCCCCTTTCCTGATACCTGGACCCTCAACCTTGTGAGCCCAAGTGGCCTGTCTTTTCCCTCCTGCCAGCCTCTGTGTGAATTCCTGAGACAGCTTGGGCCTTCCGTCTGAGCCTTCTTAACCCAGAGTCCCCAGGCCTGCATTCCTTTCTTGGGGAGCTCTGAGCTTCCAAAAAGGGGCAGAATGAGTGAGAAGGGGGAGTGAAGGCAGCCTGAAATACCAAGGACCTTTGACAGGCTCTCTGACCCTGTGGAGCCAAGATGGCACCATTTCTCTCCAGTATGGGCAATAAGAGTGAAACTCCGTCTCAAAAAAAGAAAAAGCCACAGGAGCAAGTCCAGGCACCAGGTAGCCTCTCTGTGGATGCTGCCTGTGTCTAGCCCTTTCTCTGCTTTAGCCAGAGGAAGGGGGGGTCAGGAACCCCAGGCACCCCCTCTGCTGTCTGTCCCACTCACATACAGGTCTCAGGCTGCCCAACAATTCGCCCTGCCCCATCGTTGGTTAGTCTTGACATTGTGCTTTAAGGGGTAGGCATGTTGATGGCAGCAGCCCCGTCACCACAGCCAGAAGCCTGGTCCCTTGCTGGCCCCCTCCACTCCCAGGTAGAAACAGTCTCTTCACTTCCCTCGCCTCCGCCTCCTCATTTGTAAGTGGGGTACAAAGTTCAAGTCCATACCTAAGTCTGGGGGCCGCTGTGAGAATTAATCTGATAATCGATGTTGAAAACACTGGCTTAGAACACTGTAAAACAGGCTAGATTTTTTAATGTTTCCTTCTTTCATTTTTGATGCTTGAAGTTATTTCAAAGCCTTGCTTTGCTGCTTTTAAAAGTCACATGCAGTCACGTGCCCCAGAGGAACACCTTGGTCATTGATAGACCTCGTACACAACAGTGGTCCTACAAAATTACAAGAGAGTCAAAAAATTCCTATTGTGTAGTATTTTCATACAACACCTTTTATCATTATTTTAGAGTGCACTTCTTGTATTTTTTTTTTTAAGTTAACTGTGAAACAGCCTCAGGTAGGTCCTTCAGCAGGTATTCCAGAGGAAAACACCGTTATCATAGGAGACACGAGCTCCATTCACGTTACCGCCCACGAAGAGCTTCCAGTAGGATGAGGCTTGGAGGTAGAAGGCAGTCATATTCATGATTCTGACCCAGTGCAGGCCTAGGCTAATGTGTGTGTCTGTGTCTTTATAACAAAACATTTATAAAATAAAAATAAATAAATAGAAAAAGTTTATAGAGTAAGGATATAAAGGGAATATGGGCCAGGCGCGATGGTTCATGCCTGTAGTCCCAGAACTTTGGGAGTATGAAGTGGGTGGATCATGAGGTCAGGAGTTCAAGACCAGCCTGGACAACATGGTGAAACCCCGTCTCTACTATTAAAAAAAAAAAAAAACTTTGCTGGGCGTGGTGGCATGCATCTGTAGTCTCAGCTACTCGGGAGGCTGAGGCAGGAGAATCACTTGAACCCAGGTGGGGGAGGTTGCAGTGAGCCAAGATTGTGCCACTGCACTCCAGCCTGGGTGACAGAGCGAGACTCTGTCTAAAAAAAAAGAAAGAAAGAAAATATTTGTATACAGTTGTGCAATACATTTGTGTTTTAAGCTCAGTCAAAAAGTTTAAAAAATTAAACATGTATGAAGTAAAAAAGTTACAGTAAGCTAAGGTTAATTTATTTTGAAGAGATAAAATTGTTGAGTAAATGTAGTATGCCCAAAGTGTCTTGTGTTTATAAAGTCAACAGTCATGTACAGCAACTCCTAGGCCTTCTCATCCACTCCGCACTCACTCATTGACTCGCCCAGAGCAATTTCCAATCCCGCAGGCTCCATTCATGGTAAATGTCCTGTACAGGTATATAGGTTCAAGGCACTGACTATGTACACATTTTAAAATCTATACCTTGCCAAGGTATACGTTTTTTCTTTTATACTGTATTTTTGCTGTACCTTTTCTATGTTTAGAGACACAAATGCTTCCCATTATGCAACAGTTGCCTACAGTATTTAGTACAGTCACATGCTGTACAGGTTTGTACACTAGGAGCCATAAGCCATACCGTAGAGCCTAGGTGTGTAACAGGCTACACCATCTAAGTTCGCGTACACTCTACGATGTTCACACAACAATAAAATTGCCTAACCATGCATTTCTCAGAACAAATTCCCATTGTTAAGTGAGGCATGATGGTATATACACTGCAAAACATTTTGAAACAGTAAAAGAATAAAGAAACTATTATTTATAAACCCATCACCTAAGCAACCTTGGATATTGTTTATTTATTTCCTTCTTCTTTTTTTTTTTTTTTTTTTTAATTTGAGACAGAGTCTTGCTCTTATAGCCCAGGCTGGAGTGCAATGGTGCAATCTCAGCTCACTGCAACCTCCACCTCTCGGTTCAAGCGATTCTCCTGCCTCAGCCTCCCGAGTAGCTGGGATGACAGGCATCCACCCCCATGTCTGGCTAATTTTTGTACTTTTAGTAGAGACAGGGTTTCACCATGTTGGCCAGGCTGGTCTCGAACTCCTGACCTCAGGTGATCCACTCGCCTCAGCCTACCTATGTGCTGGGATTACAGGCGTGAGCCACCGTGCCCGGCCTCCTTCCTTCTTTCCCCCCCCCCCCCCCAAGCTGGGATCATGCTCTGTTTGTGAGTTTGAATACTGTTTTGGAGATTTACTTATGTGCACAACGAACATTGTGAGCATAAAGCTTTTTGAGTCACTTTTACAGGAGAATTTCCCAGAAGACAAATCACTGGGTTAAAGGCTATGACAAAGCTCCTGATGCATGTATCATAACTATTGTTAGCCCTTCCCCCCAGAGTTGGAAACTAAAGCTCAAAGATTGAAATACACAGCAAAGCTGGACAGAAACTCAGGGCAAGGTATCCCATGTTCTGTGGTCTACGCTCAACAGCACAGCATGAAAGAGAAGGCGGCCCCTCCTGCAGAGCCCGGGTTATTGTGCACTGATGAGGACAGGCAGCCCTGTGGGGGATGAAACCTGGAACAAAGGCTGGGGCACTGAAAGGACAGCCTGGGGTTCAGGACAGCTGAGTGTGACTGGGGATTCTTCTGCAACTCTGTGACCCTGAGCAAGTCCCTTTGGCCTCAGTCTCAGCCCTGCAAAATGAGGGGCATGGACTGAGTCTAACACACCACCCCTCTGCCCAGATGCATCACTCCCAAACCAAAAACAGAAACATTTTGATTTTAGCTTTGCACAGACTGACTAAAGTAATCCATTTGCTCCAGCTTGAGATAGTAACCGATTGCTCTCTTGGCCATAAAACTGACCCGGCTAGATCTCCCAGCCAGCGTGCTGGGGTTCATGAGACAGCTAGCTCCAGAAAACAGTCCCCAAGCTGGAATCTGCCAGAGAGTGGCAGGAGAATGCAGTCCTTTCAAGATCGGGTCAGATGGTCTCAGCACCAGGCTCCGCTGTTGGCCCTGTAAAGAGATTTCCCTGTCCACCCAGCCCTAGGGACAGACAGACAGATGGAGGGCGTCGGTACCAGCCGACCAGGGTGCTGGCCTGCTGCCTGCTCGCTGTGTGCACAGGGGTGCTGACGGACAGCTGCCCAGTGCTGCCTGCACAGGGTCCTGCGGGCGTCGAGGCTGCTGCTCTTTGTTTTTTCAAGTGGCCAGGAACTCAGGAAGCCACATCAGCAGTGCTGAAAATGGGACCAACAAAACAAGATGGGTGGGGACAGTTGTTTGTCAGATGCCTCTGAACTTACGTGTTTATCTGGCTGACACACAGACCACCATTTCCCAGCATGCAGAGGTGAGTGCCTGTTTGCGGTGGAGGGTCAAGGTCCTAGAATCCTACACTTACGTGTGTCTCTCTGACTTGCTGTGGTATTTTTGAGCCTGGAACAACGGTTGCTCCCCAGACGGAAGAACTGCCTCAGCTCTCTCAGAAAGAGGAATGGTGAGCTCAGGGCATGGTCTTTAAAGAAGATGAACGTATGGAACACCAGGAAACCAAGCCACTGGCGGGGACCACAGGGCGTGTGGAAGATGAACGTATGGAACACCAGGAAACCAAGTCACTGGCGGGGACCATAGGGCGTGTGGAAGAGGAATGTATGGAACACCAGGAAACCAAGTCACTGGCGGGGACCACAGGGCGTGTGGAAGACGAAAGTATGGAACACCAGGAAACCAAGCCACTGGCGGGGACCACAGGGCGTGTGGAAGACGAAAGTATGGAACACCAGGAAACCAAGTCACTGGTGGGGACCATAGGGCGTGTGGAAGACGAAAGTATGGAACACCAGGAAACCAAGTCACTGGCGGGACCATAGGGCATTTCATTTCCACACGTAAAAGTCCATATACACAGAAGAACACGCTTTGCAAGAACATGTTCAAACAAAAAGATAAACATGTCAAAATGATGGTCTATGGGTTTAAAAAAAAAAAAAAAAAAGAATAGGATTCGGGCCTGGGGATAATCACCTTTAGTACAAGAAAAGAGGGGACGTGCAGGGACCAATGGTGAGAACGTGCTGTGAGCTGACTGAGGAGTGTCACGAACTTCCAGGGCTTGATGGCCAAAAGCTTTTTAAACAAAGGAAAGAAAAAAAGACAAAAGTCAACCAAACGCGGGAGATGTCATTAAGAATGGCTTTTGGCCCCAATGCAGTGGCTCACGCCTGTAATCCCAGCACTTTGGGAGGCTGAGGCAGGTGGATCACTTGAGATCAGAAGTTCAAGACCAGGCTGGCCAGCATGGTGAAACGACGCCTCTACTAAAAATATAAAAATTAGCTGGGCGTGGTGGCACATGCCTGTAATCCCAGCTACTCAGGAGGCTGAAGCAGGAGAATCAGCTGAACCCAGGCAGTTGCAATGAGCCGAGATGGAGCCACTGCACTCCAGCATGGGCGACAGACTGAGACTGTCTAAAAAAAAAAAAAAAAAAAAAAAAAAAGGCTTTTGAAGGGCCTTGACTTTGTTTTTATAAAGGGAGGAGGTTAATCCACATGGGACAGAGGTGTGGGCCACCTTAGTTCTCAGCCCTGGGAGCGCATTCGAATCCCTCAGGGAGCTTTGAAAAGATACTGGATTCCGTTGGCTTCGGGAGAATCGAGCTTTCAGGGTTAAACAGAGCCTGGGGTGTCTCATGAGTCGTTAGAGCTGAGAGGGCTGCACTGAAGTAACATGTGTGGCATCTGTCTGCTCAGGAGAATAGGAGGGAGGGCTTGCCGAGAGCTGGAGGAAGAAGGATTTTTGACGAGCAAGGGCCAGTTGCAGTCAGAGATGGAGAAGGAGTGACTTGCAGTGGGCACCGTTTTGGATGAGGGAGGAGAGGAGAACCCGGAACGGAAGCAGGGGTGAGCATGCGCAGTAAGAACTGGTGGGTGGGGAGAGGGGAGATGCAGATGCAAAGGAATAGTGAGGTAGGAAGGGAGCAGGGTCTGTGCGACCACAGGCCGACCTCTCACGTTACAGACACAATGAGAAAGCTGAGCCTCAGAGAAAGCAACTTATCCAGAGATGGGCCTCGAACGCAGCCACCCGACTCCACTGGCCTGTCCAGTGCTCTCCCCGCCGCCCCACGGAGCCTGTCTGCTCTGCCTGAGCAGCACGTCCCCATCACCCTCATTGGACCAATGATCATCACAGGGGCAGGGGAGAAGCCACCGCAGAGGGAGCTGGCAAGTGCTTTGGACCTCCTGAGGAACAAACCACCTGAAGAGGACTTTAGGAAGGAAACCAACTAATTAAGATTGCTTATTCCCTTCCCTCTCTCAGCTCAATGTTCTCATCCACTGCAAACTTTCCATCACCCTCTGAAGTCAGGGCTGCTTTTCTTCCTAATTCCTTAATTCTGGAGGCTCACTCGGTTGTTCTTTCAAGGCTGCCAGCCAGGCTAGGTGACTGTCGTAGCGATTCTCCAATTTCCTGCCTCTCTGATGGTCTGTTAGTCACCCTGCTGAGAAAGGGAGGTCTGTGGAGTTAGGGTCTGAGGGGAATGGCTGAGAACACTTGCTCTCAGCCAGAATGCATGGCGTGGCCATGTGTCCACCACGCTAAATGCCTCACAGGTACCCAATTCTCACAGACAGGAAAAGTAAGCCCAAGAGAGGCAATGTAAGTTTCCAAGTGACGGGCAAGTAAGCCCAAGAGAGGTAATGTAAGTTTCCAAGCTCCTCCTCATATGGAGGAGCTGGGTCTTACTTGCGCACTGCTGGGCCCACACCTGTGACAGTATGTGGTAGAGGCTTGCCGGGCGCGGTGGCTCACGCCTGTAATCCTAGCACTTTGGGAGGCCGAGGTGGGTGGATCACGAGGTCAGGAGTTCGAGACCAGCCTGACCA